GCAGTATTTTTTTGCATGTGCTATCAATGATATTGTGAAATAGAACATGATTAGGTGGTGTGGATGTTGTGTGAACACAATCGTTGTTGATGGCCTTCAAGTAGAGCAGGGCTCATGGTGACCCTATGAACAAAAAGGCCTGAAGCTCCTCAACAACTACTGACATTCATACAATTTTCTGGAGGCATGTTGTTTAGGAAGTGAATGCCACTCCTGCTTCCAAACCTGTCATAGTATGTTGTTATGTGCCATTGAGTTGCTTGCAATGTATAGCGACCCTATGTACAGAAGCTCCGAACCCTTCCCTGTACTGATTCTCACTAATTCTGACATACCAACCCCCAACACCAGTTACTGTATCAATCCATCTTGTCTGGGGTCTTCCTCTCCTGCACTGTCCATCCATCCTCCCGAGCAAGATGTCCAAGGACCAATTTCTCCTGTTCACATGCCTCAAGTAAGTGAGGCAGAGCTTCCAAATCCTAGCCTCCAAGGAGAGACTGGGATTCACCCTCTCCAAGACAGACCTATTTGTTTTCTTGGCAGTCCATGGTCTGTTAAAGAATCTTTTCTAGCACCACAACTAGAAGGCATTTATTCTTCCATCATCCTTAGTCATTGCCCAACTCTGAAGCATAACAAGTAATTAAGACCATGGCCTGGATTACACACACCTTTGTGTCTAGACTGACATCGTTGCTCTTTAGGATTCTGAAGAGATCCATAATAGCAGATTTTCCCAATGCAATCAGTCTTTTCATTTCCTTACTTCTGGTGTTAAGAGTGTTGATTGTGAATGTGAGCAAGCTAGAACTGTTAACCACCTCAATCTCTTCTCCATCTATCATGGTGCTGCCAACTGGCCCAGTGGTGAGAATCTTTGTCTTCTTGATGTTGAGTTTCAATCCACATTAAAGAATATTGATTGACCTTTTGCAGCAAGTGTTTTGGGTCTTCTTCAGTTTCAGTAAGCATATCGTAGGTTTTAAATGAGTCTTCCTCCAATATTGATGCCACACTCCTCCTCATAAAGCGCTGCTCCCCTAATGATCTGTTCTGCATAGATTGAAAAGGTACGGGGACAGGATGCATCCCTGAGGCACTCCTTTCCTGATTTTTAACTATGCAGTGTTTCCTTGCTGTGTTTTGAGGACTGCTTCTTGGTCCAAGTATAGGTTTCATATAAGCACGATCAAGTGTTCTGAGATTCTCATGTTCCTCAAAGTTACCCACAATTTATTGTGATCCAGGCAGTCAAATGCCTTTGTATAGTCAATGGAACACAGATAGACATTCTTCTGGTATTTTCTTTCTACCAAGATCCATCTGATATTGGCAATAATGTCTCTAGTTCCACAACCTCTTCTAAACACAGCTTGTATTTTTGGTAGTTCTCTGTCAATGAACTGTTCAAGTATTTTCTGGATAATCTTCAGCAGGATTTTGCTAGTGTTTGATATTAGTAATATTGTTTGATGACTTTCACACTCTGTTGGGTCACCTTTTTATGGAATGGGAATAAATATGGTATCTTCCAGTCAGCTGGCCAAGTTGTTGTTGTTATGTGCCGTCGAGTCGCTTGTGACT